GCTCAGTTTTAAACTAGAATTTCAATAAAATCCGTTTTCTCATGGATGGTGAACATTATTGAATGTCAAGTATGAGTACATTGTTGTAGAACTGTAGACAATTCCAGAAAAGGCTGCAGGCCCAATAGCCTTCCACAAAAACTAGCAGTTATACCTGCCCAGAGGTGGGTATTTCTGTTAGTAAATACAAATATAGCTTGATAAAGACCATAGAATACACACAGTCATGCCACAAATGAAAGAATCTGTGAAATTAAAAGTTGTGCGTAGGTGAAAATTGAAAAGATGGTCAGTCACTGATAAATTCAGATCAATTATAATTTCACTATTTGCAGTGAATACGTAACATGCAGCTTTAGTCATATCAGAACTCAGAAGTTTCTGCAAGGCCTGGGTGGCCAAAACCAATAGAATGGACTTTCATGCTGCGAGAAGTATGGAGAATAACTACATCAAATGGCTGCTACTGTTGCATGACAGGTGCAAGTGTTCCCCAATACCATCAGCATGGGCTATAAAGGCATAGTTAGATGGAATCAACTCCTCACTCCAGGCAATATTGTATATCGACAGTAGTGAGCATCACAAAAGCTACCATACCTTCCTACCTTTACAAACACTAATTTTTTCCAATTAAGTCCACATTAACATGATTCTCAGACAGTGGACACACTATATTTGTTGAAAGTACTTCCAGAAAAGTTTCTTGAGCTCCCTATAAAAACGAGGTGGTACTTCTGTTATGGTGTGCACCAGAACAATCATAGCTGGTGTTAAGGGATAATCAATAATGCTTGATAAGTAAAGCCTTCTATCTTCTGTCTATGTCAGTGTGTCAAACAGGGCAGCAGCATCATGCTAGAAAGGGCTGTTATTTATTCAGCCTGAATCTCAAAATGCAGTTTTGGAAGTCAGGGCATTATGTCTCTCCCTAGGCCAGGCTAATCCCAGATATAAATCCTACTTAGAATGAGTGGTCCATCCTAGATCATTCCATAAAAAACAACCTAAGTAACCATTCTAGAGAGACCCTCATCCAAGTTCTATGCAGAAGTTGGGGTGCAATCCCAGAAGCTCAGACTTCAGATATGTAACAATGTTTCTTCTTTAAACACTGCAAAGGGGCAGGTTCATTCAATAGTAATGATAATTTTGTATCTTTTTTTGGGGGGTTTGTTTATTTAATAAAAATGGCATTTTTGATGAGTGTAGAAGTTCAGTTTCTGATTAGTCTATTTGCTCTTAAAAGTGCGCAGATAATGTTTAGCCATAGAATAAGAAAAATGTTGCACGATTCATTGCGTATAAAGATTGAAATCTTAATAACTTGATGCTTTTTGTCCATACGTAATAAACAGACACCGACCCTAAAGGTACTCACTTGAGACTGATGGCATATCCACCATTTTGTTTGGGACTCACTCTCAAGAGAAAAGTTCCACTTGGTAAGTTCTCCAGACGAACAGAAGCAGTATCTCTGTCCATTGTTCCAGCAAACCTGAAATAACAAAAGACCGTTATTCTGATGGTATGTGCAATTACTTTGTTGTGTTTCCTGTTAAACATTTATGAAGATTGTGAGCCTGTGGTTGTCATATTGTTTCACAAAGATGGTAATGATGCTGGATATAAAAAACATCTGAAATGAATTCGCACATTTCTTTTTCCACATGTCTTTGATCTCAAATGTACACTCAGGATATAATGTAACTCCCATTTAAGTGACATACAATTTCTACTCATCTTGTACAGATTTTATTTTTCCTATGAAGTATTTCATACAATATCATATTCCATGGTCATAATAAATATACTAAACAGATGGTGACCATATTCTTTACAACAGTTTCCAAACATTTTAAACTTATTCTGAACAAAAAATTATTTGAACGAAGTGTACTTGCAACTGCTCAATAAACAAATCGCTTATTTATAATAATGGCCCTTGACCTACACACCAACCAATGTTGTATATGTAAGAATGATACCTCTCATGTGTAGAAAACCAATAATCAATCAAATTTTTACCCCTCATTCCAAATATAATTATCATATAAAAGTTTAACGTTCTATCTACAGGTTTGGTGATTTTGACGAGGCTTGAAACTACGTATACTGTAACTCTGAATTTACTATGTGTATCTTCACAAGATTTGGCAAGCTTTTAGCAAATATTACATGTTCGTTGTACATAAAAAATCAGATTTAAATAATCTGTAGATGCAAATCAAATTTTCTATTAAAACAAAAAATCAAACAAATTCCACTGTGTTAGCAATATAATTTGTAGGAAAACTAGGTACAATTTACCATTAGCTATAACAGCACTCCATGCTGACAGAAACTTAAATAAAATTTTGGCTGACAACTGTTTTGTGCATTGAAGAAACAACAGTGAGAAATGAAAAGTAACCATTTATTTCAATCTGTTACATGATCATTGTTGGAGAGAGTTATAATTCATTTTCAAGAAAACTTTTCTTCTCAGTGTGACAATGGTTCTGTTGCATGCTTTAGTTGTCAAATTGAGAAGGTTCTTTCACATTGGCAAAAGTAGATTTTAAACAACTTGGAAAAATAATCACCAAGAAATATTAAAATAATGATGACCTGCTCAATGTAAAGATTCACTCATACAATTAATAAGCAGTACTTCTTCACTGTTAAATAGATGGAATACTATTTTATTATGTTGGATTTTTTAAAATATCAATCTCCTACTGTATGATTTAAAGCTTACCTATTAAATAATGAAAAGTTTAATTTCTGTTACTGTTTTGTTATTGTTTGAACTATCTTTACAGTTACTACTAATGAATATAACTTATTTTTTTAAAGAAATATACTTTAAGCATATTGAAGGTTTAACTAAAAAAAACACTGTTCTACATCTTAATTTCTTATCAAGTTATTGCTCTTAATACACATAGAACAAGCATAACTATCACGAGTAAAATAACACGGAAAATTTCCGAAGCTATTGTACAAATTAAAAAAGAGAGATTAGAATAGTTTAAAAACTGTGAAATTTGCCTCAACTCATTAGAAGCAATTTATTGTATTTCAATGAAAGATGTTCAATGGTGCATGCACTCAAGTGACAGAGTTAAAGGGATTAACAGTAAAAATACTTACCAAGCTTGCTCCTCTAGGTTTAAGTTGACATAACTTTCATGAGGTGTAGCTTGATGGCGAGCCTGATGAACTTTCCAGTGTGGAGTAGGGTCTTCATATGATGCTCGCTTTGAAAACTTAGTATGTGAAAAAAAAAAACAACAACTCTTGTTTAAACATTACATTACATTTAAAGTATAAGAAATACTTAACTTCCAGTATTACAAATGGAGTCAATGTAGTGTAAACACATTACATAGAATAACATACTACCATTCATCAGCTTAATACACATGAAAAACCTAAGTACTCAAAGTTTTTGAACATCAACAAATATTACTTTAAACAAACAATTTATACATACATAGCTCACTAAGTGGAGCTAACCAATAAACTATAATCCCACAACTTTTTACTAGTATTAAATGTACAAACCCTATGGAGACGGGAGCAGCAGAAAATGAGCATAGCTCGCATGTAAAATGATACACAGTGTAAAAGTATTTATGATAATTCTCAGCTTTCTTAATGTAGCTTCACAACAATTTGTAAGATTTTGTTAAAGATTATAATTATTTTGTATAAAAAGAATGAGATTATTTTAATTAAAGATTTCTTACTTCTATATTGTAGTTATTTGCACTAAGACTGAATATTTCAAGTATTATCATTGATGTATTCTGCAGAAAATGTTTAAAATTAAAAAGTAAAAAAAAATTACATACCTTTTTAGTTTTTGTCAATTAATCTTGAAAATCTTCTGTTGGTTATATTCTTAATTGTAAGTTTTTACTTTTTCACATATAGTTTATTCTATTTTCCTTTCCTTTAGCATTATTACTTATCGCGACACATGTCAATGGTCATTCTTGGGGTGTCCTCGGCAGCGTTGGGACATTTGCCTACTACTCTACTTTTGTAATATGCATTTTGAAACATACCTAACACACAATTAACTTAAATATAAAACTAAAACCTAAATAAAATTTAATTGTCTATCTAACTAACATATTTATAGGTGAGAAACAATGCTAAAACCCTAGCGAGGACAAAAGCAGCAACAATGTTACGAGCATTTGACAATTCTTTGAGCTAATTTTTAATTAAATGATGGGAGATGGTATTTTAAAATGTGGTCTTTCAATTGGTTACAAACATCTATCTCAACTAAGTATAATTGACTGGAAAATTGCAACTCTGTGTATAGAAACTGGGCACGGAGTTCCAAGATATTTATTTAAGCCCTCACAACCTACTATTATATATTTTTATTTAGCAAGATAACATGCATTCGTTTTTTTTTACTTTCAATCACAAATTCTTAGAGCACCTATGAATACTAAATTTACATTTATAGAAACTATTATTCTTTAAAAAAAAACTTACATGTTGTTGACCCATGACATAGTCTACAGGGAAAATACCCTCCTCCTCTGTTCGCTGGTTACGACCCTTGGAAATTAAGTTTAATAAGAAGCATTTATAAATTTATTCTTAATGCAGAGGTATAAACATATTTCATCAGTGTGCTATGTATATGCATTACCTTAGATTACTATTTTCTCTCTATTAAAATTCTAATATGTATTGAAATAAAGATGACTACTTGAAATAAAATGCAAGAAAAATGCTCTTACCTCCCACCAAAGATGATTAGCTTTCTTGTACACATGAATTATATCATCACAATCAAATGACAAGGAACCTGTTACATCTCCTCTAAAGGATCTCACTGCTTTGACTATTGCTACAATGAGAATAATTATAAATTTTCTTTTAAATCCTGTCAGTATTATAAGACATTATTTTATTAACTTAAAAAGCAGAAAACTATGAGGAATACTTAGGTTAGTGTTTAATGGTATGGTATTCTCTGATATGTTAACTACTTCAGAAATAAGAATAGTAACTACAATAACTAAAGGAATGACAGAAAATGTTATGCAGAGTTAAATGGGTTTTCTTCCTAACTGAAGTGAGGGAAGTGACTGATAATGGAAAAACAATTATTTATTGCATAAAATCAAACAAACTGAGATAGCTACCCATTATATAGAAACAAACAAGGAAATCTCTCAGGTCACATGCATTCCATAAACAAAAATAGAAATGTTATTACTTTCAGGCATTACAAACCTACCCAAAAGTTATGATCACTGCCAAAATCTAGATAGTGTATTTACCTATGCATTTCTACATGAGATAGCACATGTGACAATGTATTATAAGGACAAAAGCAATTTAGCCAAGTTTCACAGCAAACTCTCTAATTTTAAGAATCTAAATTTTTACCAAAACACACATATATATATGTGGATGTTTGAAAGTTAGCGGCAAACAAAAAATGCTCACCTGTTAAAGCTAGAAAAGAAAAACAGATACTTTACCTAGTATGCCTGCACAATACAGTCTGAATAAAGGTTTTGATTTGCAAATTACCATTCTCCTTATCAAAAATAAATCATCAAACACTGACATATGTTTTCAACTTTTTATACATCCTATGTTCTCTTCACAGTATCTAAAGAGGGTACACATACGTCACACAACAAAATGAGATGTACCAACATATACCTGTCTAACATACAGCAGTGGTATTTGAATTATTTGGGAATTAAATGCAGTCAAAGTAGCATACAAATCAACCCTTAATACGGATTACAAAATATTATAATTAAATATCATTGACTACAAAGTGCTCAAAACAATGTCAGATAATTCCCCAGAATAAAATCTTTATAAATAAATAATTGGTTTCACTTAGGAATGACGTGTCGGAGCTTGCATTCAGTAAGGAAGCAAATATCGAGATTAACTTTCTTAATTTTAAAGTCCCAATGATTTTTCGTTTGTTTTTTTTTATTTTTTTTGTTGTTTGTGTTTTCTAGCTGTAGTTTCTCCCCATGATTACTATTTAGTGTTTTATTTGTTTAATTATCGTTAT